TAGGGGGCATCACCTGACCGAAAATGCCCTTTGGCCATCCCATCCCCAGGAAGTTTCTGGAGGTCTTCTCCCTGTGTGGCCTAGCCTCTCTCCACCTTCTCCCCCTCCTCCCTTCTCTCCTCCTCCCTTCCTTTCAGGAGAAAATATAGCAGCCCTGATACTGGCCCTGATATCAGGTCCCCTACATTAAAACCAGCATATATGGGGTTAGAACAAAAGCACTCATTCCCTGCTTACTTCCTGGCTTCCTGGCTCCAGATTCCACCATCCGCCATGGAGACAAATGACGAAGGACAACCACCTGGATTTGTTATCTCCTCCCCGCCAAGGAGCTACAGGCTGGTGGGAAAGTGGCTGACCAGTAAGGCCATATGCTCCCTCTCCCCTACCTAAAACCCCAAATAAAAACCCCTACTTTTAGCTTTTCCAGGAGTTTGGGATTTCAGCGTTAGCTACCCTTTCTCCTTGCTCAGCGCTGTGCAATAAGAAAATTTCTACTTGCTTCCACTACACCTGGTGTCAGACATTGGCTTGCTGTGCAAGGGGTGAGCGAACTCACTTCAGGTTTGATATCACCCCCAGTCCACACACATGCTCCATGCAAAGAGGCCGCCCCACTTAGGTCCTGGTCCCTGCTGACCACTTTGCATGCAGGCTCCACCCACCCCAATCCTATCAAGGTATTTTCCCAAAAATACTTCCTTCCCTGAGAGAAATTCTGGTAAGAGTTATGAAGAGAATCAAACTGTCACATCTTGCTTTTTCTATAAAACACAGGAAACAGTCCATGTGTAGTAGGAGAAAACGAGACCCAATCTAAGATATCCAATATCCAAAGATGGATATTGTTCAGCCACTCTGTGGACAACTAGGCAGTCACTTAAAATGACAGTATACGCACATACAGACAAAGAGCTAATTTCCTTAATATGTGGGGTGCTTTTTTACAGCTCAATAGGAAAAGACCAACAACCCAATGGAAAAGTGAGCAAAAGATATGAATGGATGGTTTATGGAAAAGGAACTACAAGTGACCCTTAGATATTTGAAAAGATGCCCAACATCATTCATAATAAGAGAAGTGGAAAAAAAGACACCATGATTCACCTCCCAGATCTGCAAATACGGAAAAGTTTGATAGCACACATGTTGGAGACGGTGTGGGAATCAGTTCCCCTCACACACAGCTGATGGGAGTGACAATCAGTACCACACTTAAGGAAGGTAATTTGCCATATTTATCAAAGTTCAAACTGCCTATGCCCATTGACCTTGCAAATCCACTCCTGGAAGTTTTTCTAGACTTATTCTCACATATGCAAAAATGCTGCTTGCACAAGGATATTCGTCACAGCATGGTTTGGTAGCAAGAGACAGGAAACAACCTAAATATACCAAACAACAGTTAAATTAGTTACAGAACAACATAAGGTGAAATACCTTGTAGCTGCTAAAAAGAAAGAAAAAAGGTAGATCTTTTTCGTTTTGATGTGGAAAGATTTCTGAAATACATTCAATTTTTTTAAAAAAAAACAAGGTGAAAAACACTATACACAGTATACTCCCATTTTGAGAAGGGGGGAACATAGATGGATGGATGGATATTTACACGTATATGTCATGTTGTGAAGGCCCACTCGGGCTGTCTTCGGAAGGAGACGTGAGAACCTGAGCACATTGGTTGTCTTCAGGGAGAGTAATCAGGCGGCTGGGAGACGGCAGGGGTAGGGAGATTTACTTCTCATTATATGCCTTTTTGTACGTTTGTGATACTTTACTATATGAATGTATTAGGTACTAAAAATTAAATAGTTTTAAGAACATCATAGGATTTCATTTTCCTTTAATATATAATTCCATATTGTTTAGTTTAACAAGTATAATTCTCTTTTGGTTTTTATGTCTGAGTCCCTTTAAAAAATAGGAATATACACATGTAGGGAAAAGACTGGAAGGAAGTAAACCAAACTGAGAATAGAGGTCATCTGAATGTGAACTCAGTGTCGCCTCAGGCTCCTTGAAGTTCTCCTTTGCCAAATGTCAGAGGCATCCCTGCCAGAAGGACTGCTAAAAACCTTTCTCGGGAAGGCTTCTGTGTGTGGGGATTTATCAGAAGAATCTGGAGTGACTCGCAGGATGGAGCAGGAGTCCGGTCACAGTCACTCAGGCTTGAAACAGGTAGGATAAATGAGTAAGTTGGTGTTTCCCCAGGCCTCCCATCTCTCCACCCCAGGAAATCATGCCCTAGTCAACTAATGAGGGATGACTGCAGAGCAGAAGAAGAGTCTGGGGTCAGAGACGGCCAGGAGAACTAAGCTTAACCCATCCCTACCCTCCAGATCCACAGAGGGCTTGAGAACACTCAGGGCTTCCCAAAGGAGCAGAATGGGGGTTCATGCGGACTTTACTCAGCTCTCAGGGGCCCAGGAAATCCCAGTCAGCATGCGCGTTACATAATCATGCTTATTTTAGGGGGAACGAGTGCCTCGCACAATCAAAAGCTGGCCTGCCTCACCACTTCTGCCTGGGTCTATGCACAGTGACGGTAGAGACGCGTCCGCCAAGATGGTGGGAGGGACCAAAAGGTTTCTCTTCCTCAGGGAACCTGCACCAACAGCCAGACTGACCCATTTTTCAGATTCTTTTTTTTTTCCTTCTCAAATCATCTGGGTGTTTTCCTTGTAGACTGAGTTTCAGTCAAGGTAAACTTTGGGCGACCAGCCAACAAGCAAAAAATAGGTCCGGTAAAGAGAACTGCTAGGTTATGTCCTCAGAACGCCGACAAAAGTTTTTACAAAGTGTTTGCTCTTAGGTTAATTTGCTCAGTCCTCAGTCTGACTCTGCACGGAAGGCAGAGGAGAGATTCTCGGAGGGTGAACGCGTTTCTTAGTTTTTTTTATAGCTGTAACAAAGTCCCACAAACTGGGAGGATGAGAATGACAGAAATTCAGAGACCATGCTCCCTCTGAAGCCTCTAGGGGACAACCCTTCCTTGCCTCTTCTGGCTTCTGGTGGTTGCCAGCAATTCTTGGAGTTCCTTGGCTTGTAGCTGCATCATTCCAATCTCTGCCTCTGTTCTCACATGGCTGTCCTCTCTCTGTGTGTCTCAGTCTTCATTTACCCATCTCCTCTCTTATAAGGTCACCATTCATACTGAACTAAGGGCCCACCTACTCTCATTATGACCTCAACTTAACGAATTACATGTGCTACAACCCTCTTTCCAAATAAACTCACATTCTGAGGTACTGGGGGTTAGGACTTCAATGCATCTTTTTTGGGGACACAATTCAACCTATAACAGATGCAAAAAGACATAGTAAGAAGTTTCGCTGAATTTTCCTCAGTGGGGAGGGGTTAAACATGTTGGGGTGTAGGGAGACTGACCTGGCCCCGCAGACGTCCGGTCACCTCTGCATGTGGTCGAGGAATGAGCCTAAGCGTATTGTGAAACTCTTTCAAAGAACATTCCCTTCTGCTTGTCTGCCTTCCTCAAGGACCCATCGCTCCTCGTGCTTGCACAGCACTTTGAGGCTGACCCTGCACTGGGCATCCTCATTTCGTCCAACTCACAAAACACACTTGGAAGGATGTACTATCATCTACATTTTACAGAAGAGAAACTGAGGCTCTGAGAGATGGAGTTAGTCCACGATCACCTGGCAAACACAAGGTGCTGAGGGCCGGGTCTGTCAGTCTCCCCTGCGAGGTGTCAGTCAAGCTGGTGCTGTGTTTCGGAAGCAAGGCAGGTGGGCAGAGCCCATGGCCAGCCCACCCTGTGGTTCAGTGCGGTGGGAGGAAGGCACACTGGACGGGGAGCTTGGACACACCTTGAAATCATCAGCTTTGCCCCCATTCTGTTCTCCAGGGGGAGACCAAGCCTAGTGCTCCTCTGGGCCTACTGCTCCTTAGAGAGATGAGGTTCCAGGCACCGGCCCCGGGTACACCCCACCTCCTGTGACCCCCAGTTTTGGGAGACACACAAGCTGGTTTTCAAACTGCTTTTTAAGTCTGAAGAACCCTCAACACATTTTAAAAAGGAAATGTAAGAACCCCAACTTGTAAAATGGATGCAAACCATGTTGACCGTGGTGGACCCCTCCCCACACCTCCCCAGTGGTCACCTCAGCAAACTCCAGGTTTTGACCTTTTGAGTGAGAAAAAGGCTGAAAATGACACGGAAAAGCAAAGAGCAAGTAACAAAATGGCACCCGGGTATTCACCTGCTACTTGAGAGGTGAAAATGTTAGTTAAAAATAGTGGAGATTTGACGTTAGGGAATTATTGCTAAAACGCATAAAGCATGCTGATGCTATCATGGCTATGTTTTTAAAAAGACTTCCTATCTTTTAGCACATTCTGAAATTGTTCAGTTGAGATGCTGTGGGCTGTCTGCCATTTGTTTCAAAATGAGGCGCGACAGAGGCGAAACTAGGCTGGCCCTGCCCGACCACGGTCCGAGCGGAGAGGCGTTATATGCAAGTTCGTTATACCAACACCAGCTAGTTCATATGACTCAGCTTAACTCTGTTCTTTCTACTGCTGTGTATGTATGGAATTGTTCATAATAAAAAGCTGCTTTAAGCTAGAAAGTCTGAGCTGTGCATAATAAGCGGTGTGACTTCTGCAATTCTTTAAAAAACTGTAAAAAGTTGAAGCCCCAGGAGGTGACAGGAGCGTCTCGAGGGTGGGGAGGAGCGGGAGGGAGGGGGCAGGCATACTGCGTCCCCCAACCCAGTGGACCCCGACCTGCCTTCCTCTGCAGCTCGAAACTCATCCTCCAAACTCCGCAAGGAAGCGGGCTGGGCGCTGGCCGGCCCTGGGGCGCCCCATCTGTCCACCCGTCTGTGAGTCCAGCTATCTGTCCACACGGACGTCCGATCAGCCTGGCCATCCGCCCGGCGGTCCCCGGCACGACCCTCCAGAGTCCTCTGGCCTTCCCTCCGCCCCCTCCGCGCCGCTCGCCGGGTCCCGCAGTCCCGGGCGCGCTGTGCACTCACCAGCCGCGGTCCCCGCGCCGCCGCGCGCCACCTGAAACTGAAAGTAGGTGCAGAGTGCAGCCGGGCTCGGCTCGGGCTGGAGCCGGCGGCCGCTGCCGGGAAGTCACGTGGATTTTAGGTGCCAGACCGGTACGGGAGGGCCGGGCGGTGGCCGGCTCCTGGCACTCCCAGATCTTTGCGGCCGGGACCCAAGGACAGCCCCAGGGGACTCGGGGGCTCTCGCCTCTTTCGTGGATGCGAAAGTGAGGCAGAGTGGTAAGGGTTGGCTCACCTGGGGCGTGCGCTGCAGGAGGACCCCGGGCTGAGTTCAACTCTCCTGCCTCTTTGGCGACTAAGGAGGGACGGGGACAGGGTGGGAAAGAGGAGACGCTCGCTGTGCAGAGGACGAGACTTAGCGGCCAGGGGTCCTGTCTCCTGGCCTTTCCAGGATGAAAGGAGAGGAGAAGGGAATAATAACGATAATTGATCTTATAAACTGGGCCCTTGGCCCTCTGACTGGCGCTAAACACTCTCTGCGAATTTATCTCATCTGCTCCTCAAGATAACCCTAAAACGCAGATGCAAGTGTCTCCCCATTTTACAGATGAGCAAACTGAGGCTCAGAGAGGAGGGAGGTGAAGGAACTTGCCCAAGTCACACAAGGGACACAGGCAGAGATGAGGAAGAGAGGAGCAAAGGAGACTGGAGGGGCAGAGAGAAGATGAGATGGCTCCCCCAGGAGGGAGTCAGCAGCGACTCTGAATGGCGCCAAGTCCAACTACCCTTTCAACAAGGTCCCTGGCATTTTGCACCCCTCCTGGGACAGGGAGCTCCCCTCCTTCTGCAGAAGCTGCATCTGTCCTGTGGACAAGTCTGCTTGCTGGCAAGTCTTCCACCCGCCTCACCATGACATCCCCGCAGTGGAGTAGGTTTCACTCCCAGATCACTTCCGTCCCCCTGCCTCCTGGGCCGGGTGGGTGTGAGTGTGAGGGCACTGCAAGGTAGTGGTCACGAGTACAGCCATCAGCATCACACGCCACTGGATTCAAGTCCTGCCCTCCAACAACCACTAGATGCCTTCACTTCTCTGAGCCTCAGGTTTGGCATCTGTACGACCTCCGCGTAGAGTGGTTGTGAGAATTTGGTGAGCTGAAGTTGGATCTGATGCAGCCTGTGCCTGAAGCCCATGAGTCATCCTTTTATTTTTGTCTCCGTTCTGCAAGTCCCACATCCCTGTGAAATATGAACTGCCTCCCTTCTAGGACCCACTCCCAGAAACCACATGACAGCATGCAGAGGGAAGGGCATGGATCCTGTGGTCAAGGGCTTGTGTGTGATTCCCAGCTCCACCGCTGCCAGCTGCATGACCTCAGACAAACGTCCCGACCTCCCCAGGCCTCAGTTTCCTCATCTGCTAAATGGGGCTATGCCCAGCTTCCCCAGGCCACTGTGGGCCGTGGCGGGGAATGGATGAGGATGAGATGTGGGCTGTGAATGGGGGTGTGGGCAGGATTGGTGATGTCCCGAGATCAGGATGTGCTCTTCAGTTCAACTCGTGTTCATTGAACACCTCCTGTGTGATTGTCCCTACACGAGGTCCCAGGAAAGACTCTGGCCTGCTCCCTGTCCAGGCTGGGGAGAGCAGACAGACACATGGACAGATAACCACAAGCCAGAGAGACAAATGCGGACCATTTCCAGATACACTTAATTTTGAACAGGACCTTGAGGAGGGCAGAAGAAAAGTTGTTATCCCATTAGGCAGATGAAGAAGCTGAGACCCAGGTAGGTCAAGTGAGTTGCTGAAAGTCACACAGCAATCAGGAGCAGAGCTGAGTCTTGAACCCAATGCCCTTTCCACCCTGGAGGGACCAGGCCTGCCGAGAAGGATGTCACTGAAGAACTCTGGGGGAGCTACCCTCCCACGCCCCCATCCTCAGGCTGGCCTGTGGCCTGAGAGCCCACCCTTAGCACATTGTCCCTTTGGCTGAAGGTGTGCGAGCTCCTCCAGTGTAAACTAAATGGCCATCAGTCATTTTTACTTGAGTGTGAACAAGCTAATCGGATTATGTGGGTGGGAGATCAAGGAAAGTTTCAGTGTTTGGACTTCTGGGCAGGAAACGTGAGATGTGAGAGTCAAGGGGGCCCGGAGAATGGAGCCCACATTTACTGGGCGCCTCCATGTGCCAAGTACCTCAGGGCCATGAAGTATAACGAATAGCTGGCATTCTCGGAGTGCTTAGGATGTACCAAACACTGATCTAGGTACTTGTGCTGGCTCCCTTAGTCCTCATGGCAGCTCTGTTACCCCCATTTTCACAGGTGAGGAAGTGGGGGCAGACGATAAATAGCATGCCTGAGATTACAGCTGGCGGTGGAGGAGCCGAGATTTGGACCCAGGCAGGCCAGCTCCAGAGACCCTGCTCCTGGCCAAGTGTGATACTCCCTCTGGGCCAACCCAGTCCTTACCAGGACCCTACGTGGAAGGCATTATTACCCCCCATTTAGCCGATGAGGAAGCTGGGGCACAGAGGGACCCAGGATAGCAGACTAGTAATCGAGTGCCCTGGGATTCGGACCCAGGCTTGATGGCCAGGCCCTCTCCCTACATTCCCATCTGCCTGAGGGCTGGGGTCGGCAGCCCAGGGGGCAGGATGTGCTTCCGCTGGCCCCTGGCTCAGGGCAGCCACTGTTTCCTCCCTGCAGGAAGGAGCAAGTGCAGCCTTCTCCCAGGGACAGATTTGGACTGATTGGAGCCGGGACCCCACCCAGGCTGGGAGCACTTCCTCGGCTTTTGAGATAAGCCTTGGTCAGAGCTTCTGGGCCTGGATGGAGGGGCAAGGACCTGGGAGAGTGGACCGGCAGGTCAGTCCTGTTCTGGCAGGCTGTGGGACTCCACAGCTCCTGCTGAGTGCAGGGACGCGTGGGTGCCTCCCAGAGCGGAGCCGGCCGGGACACTCTCCCAGGACGGTGAAGGAAGCTGAGGGGCCGGGCATTTCTGCAGCCGGAAGAAGCCCCGGGCCTTCTAGGGTCCCGCCTGGGCTGGGGTCCACAAGAGGCGGGACTCCCAGTGACCTCTCTGTCTGCCCCTTGTGATGGTGAAAGTGCACACTGGGGGAAGGAGCTGCCCGGGACTGCCAGAGTATCCTGATATCGTCCTTATGGCCATGCGCTTTCCCAGCCCCCCGGGAAGCACTCTGGTAGGGAGGCTCCTAACTGGTGTTACTGCCCTGAGGGCTAATATCCCAAGGCCTGGAATTTCCACTTGGACTCAAGCCTCAGGGACTGGTGCAGCCCTTGACTCTGTCTGCCAGGGGCCCCACCCGCCAGCCCCCAGGGGTGCTCCTCATCAGCTTAATGAGTCGGACTCTTGCTTTGGGCCCCGAGGGAGCACTTGGAGGGGCCAGAGGTGGGCTTGGAAGAATTGGCTCAGAGAATGGTGCCCTCCCCTCAAGTCTTCCCAAACGCAAAGGAGCATCCCTCTGCCCAGCTCCACCCCAGCCCTTGCCTCCTGCCATCCCTCCTGGCCCTCAAAACAAAGGCCAGGCCCCTTTGGCACCTGCATGGTGTGGATCCTGCCCTCATCGCTTTCCCTTTCCTCTTTGCTCTCTGTGCTACACAGCCTCCTTTATGTTTCTTGAATCTCTCATGACTCCTTCTACCCCAGGGACTTTGCACACACCAGTGTCTTCCTAGGCTTTTTCCCCATCCCATTTGGCCAGTGTAGCAGGAGGGATTTTCTTCACACACCTTCCTGGAGACTGGCACCTCCCAAGACTGAGATGGTAGAAAGCTTTTGTATTACAGCCTGAGGGTGGGAGGAAGACTTCCTCTGAGCATAACAAGGTGGTCTGCCTGGAAATATACTCCTGAGAGACTGCTCTTCCAGGGTAAATTCTGATTTCCTTTCTAGAGGCTCCATCCTCTTCTTCTTCTGCCAGAAACCAGACCTCTGTGAGGGCCCTTTTCCCTCCCTGCCATCCTCAGGATCTGAAGCCCCTCATGCTGCCATATTTCCTGTCCAGCACTGGAACCACATGGAACAGAGAATGAGTGACAACTCATGCCAGAAGCAGCTCTGGAGAGGAGATGGGACCTCTGCTGGAGGGTGGACCAAGGGGCTGAAAGGACCCGGGGCTGGGAGGAGGAGAGAGCGAGGGTCTGAGAGATGCTCTCAGCTGACCAAGGGGAAGCTAAGAAACCCAGGCGGGGCAATTCCAGCTCCCACTCCTTTCCTCTCCCCTAAAGCCACACGGGCAAGCGGATATTCAAGAGGAAGGGAGGGCCAGCTCCGTGTCTCCTGTGGGGAAGGGAGCAGAAAGGTCTCAATAAGACCTTCTCCAAGACACCCCTGCACCCCCCTGTGATGACGTCTGAGACTCCACCATCAGTCACCTCGTATGGACAAATATCCTACAGTGTCAGGGTCAAAAGGGAATTTGGAGATCATCAAGTCCAACAGTCTCATTTTATAGGAAGAGAAACTGAGGCTCTGGGCTGGGTGTGATCCAGGTCCCAGCCTCCCAGCCCAGGGTTCTTTCTGCCACATCAGTTTTCATTAGGAGACCCGTGCCCTTAAAGTGGGTTGAGCCATCCCGTGGGGTGGCAGAGGTAACATTCTCCAGGTAAGCCAGGACCAGGGAGCCAGGCATGCAGTGCCACCAGCAGGGAGAGGTGCCTGAAGGAAGGGGATCCAGGACTTCCAATGGCCAGAGAGTCAGAGGCGCTGGCAGCCCCACCTGAGAAGGGCCTAGAAGGCAAATGAGAGCCTCTCCGTCAGGCTCATGTCCTCCAAGGGAGCCCACTGTGATGATCACGGACCACAGAAAGTTCTGGACAGACTTGGAGAAGCTTTGCAGACCAGAGGCCCACTGTGAGTGCTTCCTGAAGGCACAGAAGTGACCCCAGGGACAGATGGCCCCACAGCCTGGGCGGGCATGCCTCCATATATTCATGAAGAAGTACATCCCCCCTTCCCCTCCCCTCCCCCCACTCCCTCCACGATGCCTCTCCTGAGTGGTCCCTCCTAGGCCCTGGGGAGGCCTGTGACTGTCAACCCGTTGCACTAAGGGGGAGCCAAGGCCCAGGTGTGGCCACTTGGCCAGTGTTCTCCTGTCCCTCCACCCCCTTAATC